CAAATCGAAGTATATATAGGGACTTTCGTGCACCATTTACCTAAAATCGTACGAAAATGTATATGAGAACTATATCTAAATCTGAAACGATTTTCACGAATCTTAACACACATTATTCTAGACTCAATTCAGTATGCAAATCGAAGGATATATAGGCACTTTGGTGCACCTTTTACCTAAAATCGGACGAAAATGTATATGGGAACTATATCTAAATCTATATCTAAACCATTTACCTATAATCGGACGAAAAATATATGGGAGCTATATCTAAATCTGAACCGATTTTCACGAATCTTAGCACACATTATTCTAGACTCAATTCAGTACGCTATGCCAAATTTCGTCCAAATATATCTAATCTGAAGCTATATCTAAATCTGAACCTATTTTCACTAAATTTAACACACATAGTTCTAGACTTAATTCAGTACGGGATCAATTTTTTTTATTTAATTAAAATCTACACTAATTCAATAATGTCCCTACAAAATTTCAAGTGAAAATCTCAAGGACTCTTGAAAATATAGCCGATTTATTGTGTCAGCATCAAGTGACGGCTAAAGGGCTTCTCAAAATTTAAACGCGTTTTTCTCTTTTGCGAATGGCAGGCACGATAACTCAAAAACTAATAACCCAATCGATTTCAAAATTTTACACGTTTCTCTGTGAGGAATGAACTAGGATAAAGCCAATCGGTGAAGATCTTCCTTATTTTTTAAAAATCGGCAATTTTCCAAAAATATGTTTTCAAAGGTCCGCCATTTTGTTAATTTTAGAGCGAAGTCAATAATCCTAGTTCATACGAGAGCCAGACATGTACTTTTTCTAACACCGTTAGAATTTTCGGATTCCGATGTTCCAGTGAGGAGTTATCATGCCCGCCATAAAAAATAAGGACTTTTCTTTATTACAAAAAAAACAACAACGAAACAATATCAAAAATTTTTTGTAAATTATTGTTCTTCTCTTTTAAATCTTCAAATATATATGTGCAAAGTTACAAACCATAACAAGTATTGGTATTGATTTACCAGCCCATTGAAAATCTTGAAAAATTAAAATCGAGAATGGGGGTGGGTTCCCTTAAAAGAAACCATGTATCTATCTCGTTTCCTTTTGCCTGTTACAAACATATGCACAAAGACATAATTCCCTGTACCACAGTGTGGTGAAGGGTATAATGACACCTTTAACAGCTACGACTGAAATCTTGAAAATAATATATTTAAGAAATCTACGACTGTGGATGTATTCCATAAAATATTATTAGACAATCCCGGCATATGTATGGATATAAATATATCGACGCCTTTGCCAATTATTTAAAAAATGTTAAGAAATTCACACCATTGGCAAGTATTTAAACAATATTTTAAAAAATCTTACTTTTTTAGAAATTCTGCACTGGAAAATATATTTTTAAGTAATTCCTGTCAAGGTAAGGTCTTAATATATTATTGAAGAATTCACGCTTTCGGTAATAATTAGGAAAGCTATATGCTTCCAAAGTCACGAATTCCCGGCGTAAATCAGCTACAAAATCTACATTTTGTTTACAAATGGGAATTTTAACTTGCTTGAGTAATATTATTATGGGAGTCAATACCACTTGTCGTATTATTCTTTCCATAAAATCAAATCAAAAACAAAACATTGCTATGCAACTTATTCTTACTCATCACCCACCATCATCAACATCACCATTTGGTTCCCATAATTTACCAGAATAAAACAATTTTTTGATACACAACCCGCATATGCTTTAATGGCCAGCATGTAGTAACTCAAGCTAAATAGTATGCACATGTAAACGAACTTACACACATACGTTTATATATAACATATTTAAATATCTGCATATATTTTTTTTGTAAAAGAAAAAAAATATATATATTTCACAAAGATAAACTTGTAAGAGAAGCCACTGAGCACACACATATACACACACTGGCTGGCATACACTCAATCGCACCACAGCAACAAAAACAAGAAGCTTTTTGCTAACGCAAACAGATTTTTTTATTTGTTTTGTTTTTATTGTAATTTTTGTTTTTTTTTTACATTTTTTTGCAAGCATTCGAAAAAAGCCTTTATTTCAACTCAAAATAAAATGTAAATATAAAAAATTAAAAAAAAAAAAAACTATTTTGCAAATATATCCGAGAAGAGTATTCACTTTTACTGTGGGCAATGCGATATAACCCAAAATGTGTAGTGTATTTTGGTTGGTGCATGGAATGCAAAATGAAGTCACAACAACAATAAATGTGTCACAGCGAGTTTTGAAATTTATATTCGATGATGATTCATTGGAAATTTTTGTTATTGTTTTGAAAGATTGTGTAATGAATAGCTATAGCGATTTGAACTCGTTTTGTAGGGCTGACTTTTGAATTTTAAATGAAATGAATCAGGAAAATATATAAGCTGAATTTCTAAACATCCCACGCCGAAAATGAGGCGAGTGTTTATATGGGTACAAATATGGACCCATATAGACAATTTTCTGAATATATGTATGTCAGCCTCCAGAAACCCGGAATAATAAATAACAGCCCTTTTGATGGGAAAATTCAAATAAAACCCTAAGAATATCGGAAATAGGGAAATAGATCTTGAAAAAATATTTTTAAAAAATGCACGTCTGCGTATAGATCTTGAAAAAAATATTTTTTTAAAAATTCAGGCCAGTGTATAGATCTTAAAAAATTCACCCCTGTGTATGGATCTTGAAAAAAAATATTTTTAAACCACTAATACCCTTCACCACTTTAGGTACATACAAGAGATGATAATATGTGTAATATCCAGTCGATAGAACAGACATAGCATCTCTGGGTGACCATTGAAAGATATTCGGGTAAAAATAAATGTGCTACCTACATAGATATTTGAACAAACAAAAAAGCCATACACATAATATTCTGAAATCAATAAAAAAAATTTTCATGTCAATCGGGAAGACTTAAATTTTTGGTGTATTATTTGTATTAATATGGGAGCTATATCGAAATATGGACCGATTTCAATAAAAACTTCACAGATGTCAAATTAGACTGAATTCAGTACGCGGGGCAAAATTTTGTCTAGATCGGACCAATATTGGGAGTTTGGTGCACCATTTATATAAAATCGGACGAAAATATATATGGGAGCTATATGTAAATCTGAACCGATTCCAACATAACTTGGCACATATCAATCTAGACCAAATTCAATACTCTGTGCTAAATTTTACAAACATTTGCACAAAGAATAATACCACAGTGATGTGAAGGGTATAAAAATCCACGCCTTGTGAAGGTCTCTAAAAAAATATTTAAAAAAAATCCACGCCTAAGGCAACTGCTTTAAAAATACTTTTAAAAAATCCAAATATTAAAAAAACTAATTGAAAAAATATTTTTTAAAAAATCAACGTCACTAGAAGGATGTTCACAGGACTAAAGTTTAAGAACAGATGTTCGAATGATTGTGTATGACGATTTTATTAAAAGCGAAATATTTATTTTTTTTTAAATTCATGCCCATAACTGATTCCATTGCCAGTATGCAGTGAATACCCCTAATATAATGCTTGCTGTTTTGCAAAAAATATTTATCTATAGCAGCGTTTTTGGTAGCAAAGTGTATCTGTGTGTGTGTTTGTCATGTTCGTATTTATATTTGCATTATGTTGCAGATTCTGTGTGTGTGAGTTTTTCAGTTGATTTTTTTTTTTGTCTATACGAGATCGTTGTTCATTTCATTCGATATAGATTTTTTTGTCTGTATGTGGGTGTGATTTTTGATTTTTTCGGTTCTTTTTTCACATTGTATCTATGAGTTCGGTTTGTGTTTTTTTTTCTGTGTAATATAAAACATTGTAGCACAACGTAAACATACAAATGTTACTATTTGTGTTACATTTTTGCTGAGTTCGCAGCTATCATCTACTACCCTTTTGAGAGTGCTGAGGTGGTGTGGGATGTTGATATGGAGGTACTACTCTTCAGTACCGAAAAAATAAAAACTGAAAACAGGAACACTTGCACCAAAGTCAAGCATTTCTGGCTCGCCGGGCGTATGTGCGAAAATTTAATGTTCGCGAAAATAAATTTCCCGAAAATTGCCAAAGGGGATATGTAACTGTTTTCTTGAAAATATATTTTTTATTTTCCAAGAAGCAGCAAGCAGGAATCGATTATATAGGCTCGAATATTACTGTGAACTAAATAGGAACAATATATATAAATACTAAATAGTTAGGCTTCAAATTTTACCGGAAAATGAATGTCCTTTTAATCCTTTTATTCTTAGAAATTGTTTATCAAAATCTATTCTTGAGATTTTAAAATGAGAGTTAGCCTAATTTGCATTTAACAACACGTTTTTTCTTTTTTTTTTAATTTGAAACCAATACTTTTTGGCAACATCTAAATTTGCTGGCTGCTAACCTCCACCTCCCACATATTGTTGGGCCTCCTCGAACAAGTGTTTACTTTGTTGTTGTTGTGGCCTGTTTGTGCTGTTTTTATTCTGAAGTGGGCGGTGGTGGTCTCTCAATGATCTGTGCGTGTTACGCTTTTATTTTAAATGTTTTATTTTCCTATTTTTTATATATATTTTTTTAATTTTTTTTTTTTGATGTAAAAGAAAAATACTGTTCACATCTTGAGATGAGTAACAACATGAGCACAGTGGTGGTATTTGGGGACTGACTAGTAGTAGTAGTAGCAGAACTGTGAATGGGTTTTGAAAAACAGAAAAAGTGCTTGTGGTTTGTTGTTGTTGTTTTTTTGTTGGAGTGGTTGTGGCAGTGTTAGTAGTTACAATACGTTTTGCATGGATTTTTTTTCTGGGAGGACGAGTAATACAACATCAATTTTTATATATATATATAACTTTCGAACATTCATTTATTTATGTTCGTTGATTCGTTCGCCCACCCCTCGACAATTTAACTACTACTCTATTGAGAGGCGTCAGAATACAATACAATAAAAAACAAAACTTACCGGTGCTGGAGTTGGGGTTGAGCTACCATTGCTAACGCCATTGTTATAACCATGAGCACTCAATGCAGAAGTAATGGTTGAAGCACTCAATTTGGTATTGCTGTAAATTGGGGAGAAAAATTAAATAAAAATTTTTGCATTAGTTTGGCTGGAAATGGGTGTAAAGAACGTTTTTAGATTATTGATTCAATTATTGAGATTAAAAAATAAAATAAAATATTATTAAATTAAAACTAATATAAGTTTGAAAATTAAAAAAAATGACGAAAGAACAAAAGTCAGAGGTTGCCGAGAATATGGTACCATACACCACTTGGGGTATCAAGAAAAATACTAAAACTACTTTTGTCCACAGAAGATATTGTGGAGGCGCTCAAAATCGATTTTTTGGAGTCATGTTAGATGACAAAAAATTTGAAACTGAATAAAATATTTTGAAAATCAATAAAATCGGTTAAAAAATCGTTTTTTTAACCAGAAATATACATAGTAGCCCTCGTAATAATGTGGAGTGTATATTAAATTTGTCATTCCATTTGCAACACCTCGAAAAAGTCGTCAGAGACCCCATTACTCCTAAAATGTTTGATATTGCAAATGGTTTATATCGGCCCCTTTTTAAGGTAGGATCCATATTGGAGTACCAATATTCAGTTTTTGAACGTTTGGACTCGTTTTCAACCTAATCTCCTGTAATTTAGTATTTTGGGTTCTCATGGGGCAGAGATTTTTCTACTTAAAATTATCAATACTGATTAATTTTTTATGGTGGTCCCCAAAGAGCGGCAATCCCTATGATTATGTATTAGGAAGCTTTTGGGCACATTTCTCAAGAGAATTGTTTCTAATTTGATATTAGAGATTGGCTCATGTTTTAAGGTAGCCCCCATATAACGGTACCGCCCAATATTTGGTATATTAAAGCTTTTGGGCACGTTTTTCAATTTCAAGAGAATGGTTTCTACTTTGATATTAGAGAAGAATGTATCATTAAGCAGAATGTTTGTGTACCAAAATTGGCTCATGTTTTATGGTAGCCCCCATATAACGCCCAATATTTGGTATATTAAAGCTTTTGGACAGGTCTTTCAATCTAATCAGCTGTAATTTCAATCTAATCAGCTGTAATTCACCATATGTTTGTAACAGGTAAAATGAATCGAGATAGACCCAAGCTTCCTTTTGAGAATATGCATAGAATAACTTTCTGAGTCGATTTATGCATGTCAGTCCGTCCGTCCATGTATTTTTGTGAAGAAAGTACAGGTCGCATTTATGATCCGATTTGGATGAAATTTGGCATATGTCACTTATTCGGCCCAAGGGCGAACCCTATTGAAATTAGAGAAAATCTGTTCAGATTTATATATAGCTCCCATATATAGTTTCGTCTGATTTTATGTAAATGGTGCACAAAACTGCCAATATTGATCCGATTGAGACAAAATTTAGTACAGAGTCTTGAATTAGGTCTAGATTAATATATGCCAAGTTTTGATAAAATCGGTTCATATTTAGGTATAGCTCTTATAGATAGTTTCGCCTAATTTTATGTAAATGGTGCACCAAACTCCCAATTTTGGTCCGATTGAGACAACAGGTCGCATTTATGATCCGATTTGGATGAAATTTGGCATAGGCCACTTATTCGGCCCAAAGGCGAACCCTATTTAAATTGGAGAAAATCGGTTCAGATTTATATATAGCTCCCATATATAGTTTCGTCCGATTTTATGCAAATGGTGCACCAAACTCCCAATATTGGTCCGAATCAGACAAAATTTAGTGCAGAGTATTGAATTAGGTCTAGATTAATATATGCTAAGTTTTGATAAAATCGGTTCATATTTTGATATAGCTCTCATATATAGTTTCGCCCGATTTTATATAAATGGTGCACCAAACTCCCAATTTTGGTCCGATTGAGACAACAGGTCGCATTTATGATCCAATTTGGATGAAATTTGACATAGCTCACTTATTCGGCCCAAGGGCGAACCCTATTGAAATTGGAGAAAATCAGTTCATATTTAGATATAGCTCTCATATATAGTTTCGCCCGATTTTATGTAAATGGTGCACCAAACTCCCAATTTTGGTCCGATTGAGACAAAATTTAGCACAGAGTACTGAATTAGGAGTAGATAGATATATGCTAAGTTTTGGCAAAATCGGTTCATATTTTGATATAGCTCTCATATATAGTTTCGCCCGATTTTATGTAAATGGAGCACCATACTGCCATTATTGGTTCGATTGAGACAAAATTTTGCACAGAGTACTGAATTAGGACTAGATATATGCTAAGTTTTGTTGAAATCGGTTCGGATTTAAATATACATAAATAGAACGAAATATTGCCAATACTGCAATAGAAAATCTCCCTACCAGAAATTATCAATTTTGGTGCATGTTTCCGGATAGCTCTATATAATGGTATCCCCCATTATCAAGTACCTTGGGGGTTTGGACACGTTTTTCGACAGAATTGATTTTAATTTGATTTTTCATGTTCTCAGGAGGTGTCTAATCATCCTACCAAAAATTATCAATGTCTGTTTACGTTTTGGTATAGCTTCCATATAACGGAACCATTGAATTTCCGACTTTAGTCGCATTTTCCCAACAATGTGACTCTAATTTCGTTAAAAGGGTCCTTGACATATGTACAGAAAAGTTCAATATTGGTCCATTTTCACATTGCAGTGGCTGTAATTTTGCATTCCGGGATGTTGGAGGGTAAAATACATGTTTACAGGCAAAAAAATATATATATAATTATATATGTCCAAGTTTTGATATATCCTTTCATAAATATCTGAACCCATTTTCCTGTCCCATATTTCCAAACTTAATATTAATTTGGAACATAATTTTTTCCAGAGCATAAACAACCACATAATACAATAACATAATGGCCATAGAAAGGGTTCAATTTAAGGTATATGCAGGTTAGGCTCGGTATTTTCGCTAAGTTTTTGTTGTTATCCCAGTTCTTATCCAAAATGACTAATGTTTGGGATTGAAAACAATTGAGATTTTCCAAGGAATCTCAATAAAATCGTAAAGAATTTTTTCGATTGTCTTGATTTGTTTTAAACAGTCATATTCTATCTAAATTTTTTCAATGTTCATTTTCAAATTCATTTCCTACAATTTCAGTGGTAACTCATAACTATACCAATATGTATTTGAAAATTTCTCACAGCTTATTATTTAAACCTTTTTAAACTGTTTTGTCCATTTCGCTAGCATATCAAATAAACCAAAAATATGACAATTCAATTATAAATGACATAGCATATATCCACTCCGCAAATCCCTCCCCCTCAACTAAATGCTGGTCATCTTTATTGCTATGCATAATAAAGCCGCATATAATTTATCATCACATATTCTGTGATTTTGAGCCATTTCAAATGGTCAATTAACTTTTCCCCCCATCCACCTGTCTATTTGGACGAAAAACTCTATTCGAATATTTACTATTAATTACTAGAAACGCCACAATAAATCTCATTTATCAAAGCTCTACGCTTACCTGGGCGAATCGAGCAAATAAATGAAATTAAAATGCATTTGGCCCAAAATTTTGACAAATGATTACCCAAATTGAAATCAACCTCAATAAGGTTAAAACAAAATGTCAACCGCTATGTGTTTTTGGGTTCGATGCGGGGTAGCAGCATTACAGAATGCATACAGTCGTCGAATGCAGAGTCTGTCAAACCATTTGTTAGCTGGTATTCGGTATGATTGGTGTGCCGCAACATCGCTACAGCCACTCACATACACACACACACTCATCGAATGATGATAACGATGATAATGTTGTTGTTGTTGCTGCTTTTGATGATCAAATTGCTGACATAGGGATCAACAGCAATTTAATTTTCATATGAAAAGTATGACAAAATTAAATTAAAACATGCCCAAAATGCCAGATAATCTACAATGTATGAGTGAGTGTGTTTGTGTGTAAATATGTGAATTTCGTCCGTATTTAGTTGTACAACAACAGTAACACCAATTACACATCAAATGAACGAATGCGGATATGTTGTGAGACTAGTCAACAACCATTTTCAGGATATGTTTTAACTGTGTGTGTATCCAAGTATATAGATGTGTGTGTGAGTGAGTGCGTGTGTGCATTTCCGTTTTCACTATTTACTTTATTTTGTGAAAAACAAAAGCACACACACACACACTTTATCGGATTGGCAGTATGTTTACATAAATACACGCCTTATATACATACAAATGTATAGTTAGCGCATTTGGTGATGTGGTCAATACGGTTGCCAATATGTCAGCCATAAAGCATATTGGTCTATGCCATTTTGCAATGGCATTGCATTGAGGGCAAAAAAGAAAAAGAAAAAATATTGACAAAAACGAACGCCAAATTATACGGATGGATAGTCATTGTTTTATTTGTGTGTGTGTGTGTGTGTGTCTGTGTATTTATGTATGTGGAAAAAATCCATGTTTTGATGGTTGGCTTATTGTTGAAGGGTAAATGGAAATTGTATAAAAAGGGATACAAGTAAAATACAAAAAATCTATATAAAAATAAATATATTATGTTTGCAAACTTTCGTTGAAGCGCAAAAAACACCATTTAAATAGAATAGCATGCAAAGAGATCAATGGGGGGTTTGAGAATTTTTAAAAATTAAAATAATTGTTTTGAAAGTATATATTTGGTCAGTGATTAAAAAATCATAAATTATCTAGAATATATGGGCTGAAACTTTTTTAAATGGACGCAGTCTTCTTTTCAAAAGTGATTTTTGCAAAATAGTCAGGCTGAATCCCAGTATGTTGTTTTCATAAAAAAAAACAACTATTTATTAGTGTGGAATATATGGCATGTAGTCTTCCCTGCCGAGGGGTAAGGCAGGGAAGACTATAGCTTCGGATCACGCCACTGATCCTCATCAGTTCCCTTAGTTTTTTGTTGGGATATTCTCCCCAGAAGCTATTGCTTCTATACAAAAAACCGTTCATACACAAATGTCTCTTGTAAAAAAGCGAAGTACTTAGCTGACCAACGACATATACTGAATGAGAATTTCGCTGGTGGCTCACTTCGAGGTTAACAAGGCGTTTACATTTACATTGTCACATCGCGACAAATGCAAACAACGACTTTGTTGGTGTTGCTAGTATACAGCAACAAATCAAACAGTTTAACCGTGCCTGCGTCTACAACTTCAGTAGTGTTGACGGTTTATTTGGGATACCATTTGTATTTTGTTTTTGCAAAATAGTCAGGCTGAATCCCAGTTTGTTTGTATGGCATCAACAGTTATATTTTTTCCGCAAAGTTATGCTACAGCCACATCGACTACAAAATATGTCTAAGACCTAAAAATTCATTAAACAAAATCTGAAGGAAGTAAAATCGTTAAATCGGTTTGGCAAAACTTCATTAAACGTATCTTCTTTAAATTCGTCGGAAAGTCTATATGGGAAATATATAATTGTATTATGTGGTAGTAGGTTGTTCAAACAAACAAATTTGTTGCGGATTACAGACACTGAGGTAGAAACTTCAACATAACTAAAATTAAACGGGGCATTTTAATTTTTTGAAAGAAGGTTTTTATATAGCCGGAACGCTATACCCTAAATTTTAGCCACTTCGATGGGAAAATTCGGTTATAAAAAACATAATATTATCGAAAATGGGCGGGACCTTTATGTGGGTGACATATCAAAACTTGGACCCCCAGTAATTTAGAATTATAACCAGTAAGGAAAGTAGTAAAGTCGAACGGGACCGACTATAAGATACCCTTCACCACTTTGGGTATATTCAACATATGCATCCTAACAAACGTCGCATTTTAAAAGGTCCAGTAAAATGAAATTGGATCCATAAACATGTTATTTTGCAACCGATACAAAATTTTTAATTTGGTCATATATATCTAAATCTGAACCGATTTTCAGGAAATTTAACACACATCATTTTTGACCTAATTCATAATGCTGTGCCAATTTCGTACAAATCGAAAGATATATAGGGACTTTGGTGCACCATTCACCTTTAATAGGACGAAAATATATATGGGAGCTATATCTAAATCTCAACCGATTTTGAGGAAATTTAACACACATCATTCTAGACCTAAATCATCACGCTGTGCCAAATTTCGTGCAAATCGAAAGGTATATAGGGACTTTGGTGCACCATTTACATTAAATCGGACGAAAATATATATGGGAGCTATATCTAAATCTGAACCGATTTTCAGGAAACTTAACACACATCATTCTAGACCTAAATCATTACGCTGTGCGAAATTTCGTGCAAATCGAAATATATATTGGGACTATGGTCCACCATTTACATTAAATCGGACGAAAATATATATGGGAGCTATATCTAAATATATCTAAATATTTTTCCCAATTTCAATAGGGTTCGTTTTTGGCCCAAATAAGCGATCTATGCCAAATTTCATCCAAATCGGATCATAAATGCGACATGTACTTTGTTCATAAAAATACATGGACAGACGGACATGCGTAAATCGACTCAGAAAGTGAATCTATTCATATTCTCAAAAGAAACCATGTGTCTATCTCGTTTCCTTTTGCCTGTTACAAACATATGCACAAATACATAATACCCTGTACTACAGTGTGGTGAAGGGCATAAAAATTGCGGTTAAAACCTTTAAAATACTGTCAATGGGGTGTTAACCGTATATGGAGGCTATATCAAAACATAGATCGATGTTGAAAATGGATTGACACAGTTATGTAGCTACACTGAAAACGTAAACCGATATTTTGCATTTATGGTAGGAAAATAGGAAAAAGACCTCAATGCGGACCATAAATATCAAATTAAATCCTATTCAATTAAAAAAACATGCCCAAAATACTGAATACTTGCCATGGAGGCTATGCGGAAACTTGAAACAATATTGAGTATTTGTGATAGGGAGGTTTTCTCTTTAATTGGAATCCTTAACCCTTTGGGATCCCATGTTACGCGCTGATAACAAAATGCTTTGGTGCTTATATTTAATACACAGCTAATAAATATATTTTTTCGGGATGCATATGTTAGTATGTGATGTTGAGCATATCAAATGGTAAATTTAAAAAAAATTAAAAATAGTGGTCATAATATGTGCTTTTCAATATATATTTATGGGCGAAAAATTGTACATATTTGTGTAAACAGTCTAAATTGTTGTTTTTTTTTATTTTTTTTGTAACAAAGAGCCTTGATATTGATTCGATTTCAAGAGTGTAGTGACGTCAATTTTTTTACATTTTTCATTAATCCTGTGCACAGAAAATGGTTCTATACGGAAAAAATTCGAGGCTCAAAGGGTTGATTTAAAATTAGAACTAATTCTGATGAAACACGTGTCCGTATATTTGAGAACACTCTTTTATGGGGGCTACTCCGTGATATGGACCAATATGTATATAAGCAGGTACATTTTTTTCAATTAATAGTGTCCAAAATCTTTAAAATACAGAATAATGGGTACAACCCTAAAAGTGGACCAATATATCCCATTCTCAATACCAAACATCTTAGGAATAGTAGTAAGCTATATCTTAAACTTTATCTATCGTGCTTTCAACAGACATATGGACGGACATGTAAATCGATGTAGAATTTTATTCTGATCAAGGAAATATATTTTTTTCGTTTTTGGGTCTTGGGTTTTTCGTTTTTGGGTCTCAAAGGAATATTTCGACGTGTTGAAAACAGAATGATAAATTTAATATATACTCCATCTATCTTGTGGTGTAGGTATGACAACACAATTATAATTGATTTTATTTCTTTTAAGGCATACGAAAAATCGTCGAAATTTTCATTTGAGGAAATGGTCTCCTTAAGGGATCAAATTTTCTAAACTAAAATTATATAGAGTCCTTGTCTTGGAAATAAAATCGATCTATATAGGGCATTATGCCCATATCCATTAAGATCTGTGCCAATTTCCTCCTTGCTCTTCTCGACATAACTTCTGCTGCAATAGCATTTTTGTTTTTGCTACAAAGTTTAATTTCCCTCTGTAACTCCAGACACGATATTACACCCCATTATAAAAAAAAAAAAACAAATTTATTCCACCAGACATCATCTGGATTAAGTGCCTTCAAACGTAATTGATATGAATACTTTGATTTTATCCACTCACACGCAATTCATACCGGACTCAAAGGCAAAAAGGCTTTATTAAATTAAGCCATAACCAACCCTTTCCAAAGAGAGAACCAAAAAAAGTAAAATACTCGGCAAACACTCAAAGGGGAATAAATTTGTAAAATTATTTACAAATATAATTATAACATGATATGCATATGGCTGGCTGGTCAATATACCAATATCATCTACCCATATGATTTTTCAATACATTACTTTTTATTTCCCGCCCAAAAAAAAAATAAATTCGTATACGTATTTCTATAATACTTACGGTTTGATTGGTACGGGAACATAGCCATCAGTGCCGGGTGGTGGATTTTGCATAGCAGCCAATTTGGCATGGATGTCACAGTACAACTTGTTGTTGAAATTGTAGTAACCTTGGTTTTTCAAGCTGGTGCCACAAGTGGCACACTTGAAGCACTCAACGTGCAAGTTCTTGTCCTTGATGCGAACGAAAACACCACTAAATGAAAGGAGGTGGGGAGCAGCAGGAGAAAAAAAATAAATATATCAATTAGTTTGTTTTTTGGTATTCAATATAATATATAAAGGGGTTTGGGACAAATGCAATCGTAATCACACACAGTGAGGGAAAATGCATTTAGGAGAGGGTGGAGTTATGGTTATGGCGATGATACTTTATGACCAATTCAAATGGAAATATTTGATGAAATGAATTTTAATAATAAAAAAAATATATATATGTATTAAAAATAGTGTTATATTACCTGTTATTAAAATAGTTTGTTTGTTGGTGTCGTTATTGATATGTAAAGAATGTATATTGCAGTAATATGAACAAATTACAAAATTCCATGTAATTCCAATAAATAAAATAATTTAATTGGAATTTATTGGAAACAAACTATTTCATTTCACACATCATAAAATTTATTAAAATTTGTATAAAAAATAGTGTTATCAGTAAATTTGGGCTAGGGGAGAAATGAGGAGTGAGTGTACGCTCCTCAATGACCTTGTTTAATAGAAATTTTAGAGTTTTTTTTTGCAAATAAAAAATTACCACAAACGGGACGAGCAGAAAATTAAAAAAATCGCTCGAATTCGGAATGATAAATGCAAAACCAAGTAAAAATATGGATAAGACCACTAAACAATTTATCATAAATCCATTGAAGTATCAAACCGTAAGAGATATTAGTTTTTTTTATTTTAGGATATAATGTTTTTTTAATTTATTCCGATCGTTTTGTCTTATATTTAAAGAAAGTTTGTATAAGGTCTTATATCAGTAGATGCTATTTAAAGTTTGTTAGACATATAGAAGAGGTATCATGTCAAAAAAAAAACCCTAGAAGACCTGCAAAGTGGTTTGTATATCTGTTCTGTTAATGGCAAAGGAAGAAACCCGAAATGCAAAGGCTTGTTTAGTTGTTCTGCTAATGGGAAAGGAAGAAACCAGAAATCGGCATTAGATTTAGTCGAACCGAACTTTGTGTACCGTTCACAGAACAGTTTTCTGCCTTCAAAATAACACAATAAGCAAAATTATTATAAGGACGGTATGTCGAACATATGGGTCTGTGCTGATAATTTCTTGCCAAAATTTCTTTTGTAAAATACGTATTGGTTCTTAAAAATATTCAAAAATATCCGAAAAATGAGGACACGACATGTATGTAATGGCTATTTTAGGACATAAATTTATGTTCAACATTTTTGCCAGGTGATCATCCGAGAGCCGAAAATTTCACCCTACAGTCATTAGATTTAGTCGAGTCGATCATTTAATAGCCTACATAGAAAAATTGGTGCCTTAAAAATATCACAATGGGCAGAATACTTATAAGGGGGAAATGCCGAACGAGGAGCTTCTACTGACTATTTTCTGCCCGGAGATCTTGTTATTTTCATAACCCGAAATTCCATATTATAGACACTTCTCTTGGTAAATGCGTATATGGCCTTTGAAATGCCTTAAGCTGAAACACAGTTAGTTAATAGTCGTATGCTGAACTTGCTCTGCCAGCAGATCCTTTGAAGGACCCCGATTTTTCTGGTGGGCGGAATTTTTGTATGTGGACTGTGACCAAATTTGCATCTGAATTTAACATTTTTGTGAGGTGGCTTTTTACGCTCTGATAACCCAAAATGCTAAATTACAGTCACTTTGGTTGGAAGATACGTTAGGAATCTGTAATCTTTTAACCTTTGAGTATCCAAATGACCAAATATAGCCATTTCGGTTTGAATGTGCGTCAATAACAGATAACAAACTTAAAATGGGGTCCGAATCTTGTAATGATTTGGAGTCGGGGTCTATTTGAAAACATGCGGATATAAGATATTGAAATTAGTGGTCTAGGTGGTATTTTACCCTCTGATAACTCTAAATAACAAATTACAGCCAAACCATGGTTCTATATTGAAAATGTTCGGCATGGAAATATTTTTTGATGCGACGAAATTCTAAATGTTAGTCATATTTAAAAACTATTGAAATCCCCTGAAATGCCGCATTACAGAGAATTCGGTTAGAAAATGCGCCCAATACCCTCTAAGTACCTCAAATGGAATATTGAAAAATTTTTGCGACAGAGTCCTTTGAAACCCCAAAAACCCAAACTGCAGTATCTTCGGCTGGAAAATCCGATTTAAATCTGCAAGATACGGAAAATGGCGAATCACCGACCTATTCAATTTTTGATTGTAAATATCCCTCCCTTAGTCTTTTCTTGCTTTTGGTAATTTTAATTGCCTCAATTTATAGATGAGAGAATTAAGGAGAAAGGTAACCCTCCACCTCAATCGTGAACAAACTGATCCTTGCCTCGAAGTAAAATTGTCTAATTCATGTCAGGAATAATACCCTTCAATTTTTAATATTAAGATATTTTTAGGTTTGATTGGGCGCCACTTTGAAGAATAAAATATTTAAACTTCTACTGAAAATCGCTTCGTGTTATATAGCTAAATTTAAGTCCACGACGATCAAAATCTTCTTTTCATAAATCCTGACAGACGTTACTTCCGGAGTTCAATTGCCATTAAGGAAGCTGCTTATGCAGCAGCAAAGGTTAAAAAGAATTAGAATTAAATGTTTTTTTGCAGGAAAATTTTGGGAATACACAAAATTGAATTATTCATAATTGAATATGAAAGGACGATATTTCTCAGATATTTAGTAAAGTAAGATTTTCTAATGTTAATCAAGATTTCTACTGATCCTGTAGATTTAAATTTTAAGATTTGATTGGGCGCCAAAATTTGATCAAAAATCGCACAACATATTTTGATGATTGGTGAAAATTGCAGCCCCAACCGCACAAAATTAAAGGAATATGAAAATATCTTGGTGAAATTGTATTAGATTTACAATAAGTTTTATAGGTATATATTCTGAAAATATCTCCCACATCTTCTCCAAACCATATGAAAATGTTCAAAACATGTGGAAATTTCACTTTCCCCATTAAAACAAATACCACATCGATTTTTTATAAAAATTACAATTTAAAATAATATACACACATTCCATAAAACTTAACAATTGAAAACCCTTCCTTCCGCTGCTACCACTTGAATATCAATACAACTCTTGACTTCGTTATATAATTGCCAATATTAAACGCCGTGCATATTTTCAATTGGAATTTTTTCTGATTTAAATTCCGTTCTGCTTCGTTCGTTGTTGCTCAACACATTTGCACAGTAGAAGTTGGGGGGCCAATTGTAAATTCTATTAACATAGCCTTCAACAATTTGCGGTTAATTTATCAAATTAATTTTCCATGAAATTATGACGAGCTCTGAGCGAAGGGAAGGACATGAAAAACAAAAATACAACAACCATAATAATAACGTATTGATTGAAAATATAACTCACTAGCAATTAATTTACGCTTTATTAATCATAATGAGTATTGAAATTATATTATAAAGCGCAGAGCATATGTATTTTGCACATATGTATGTACGTACATACATATACGAATAATGAGTTCAAGTTTATCCACAAATAAAGAAGAAAAATGCATTTATATTTATGTGTGCTGCGGCCATATATATACGCGAGATTTTCTCAATTAAATATTAAAACCTTAATAAATACAAACAGCCCAACAAATTACCACTAAAAATTGTACCGTAGACAAATGTATTAAATGCAATTGTATTGTCTGTGCAATTGCATGTGGGTGGGTGTGTGTGTAACGCGACGAGCATAATATGTTTATGTATGCATATCACCTTGTATAATACAATACGTGTTATATATGTAGATATGTCTGTGTATCCATATCCGGTAGATGTTTGCCCTACCCTACTATCTGTGAGAATACTTTTGATGTTATATTTATAAATATGAACATACACACATACATACTTATGCTGTGATATAGCTTCATGAAAATATTGGTTGTAGACTCTCGGCTCCAAAATATCGTAACAGAAGTTATGTATGATGTTCCAAGCAAATATAAGGATAGTGACTTTCGTGGGTTATGAAATGCGGAGGGGAATAGGAGAAGTTTCTATCGAACAACTTTTATAAAATGTATTTCAAATGTATAAGCCAATTGGTCTCTATAAATACCTGGGGTCTCTAAAAAGATCTTGGGTCCCTACATAGGCCAATTGGTCTTTATAAAGATCCAGTGTCGATATATATAGGTCAATTGGTCTTTATAACGGCCTGGGGTCTCTACATAGACCAACTGGTCTTTATAACGACCTTTGGTCTCTATACAGACCTATTGGTCTTTATAAAGACCTTTGGTCTCTATACAGACCAATTGGTCTTTATAAAGACCTTTGGTCTCTATACAGACCAATTGGTCTTTATAAAGACCTTTGGTCTCTATAGAGACCAATTGGTCTTTATAAAGACCTTTGGTCTCTATAAAGACCTTTGGTCTCTATACAGACCAATTGGTCTTTATAAAGACCTTTGGTCTCTATACAGACCAATAGGTCTTTATAAAGACCTTTGGTCTCTATACAGACCAATTGGTCTTTATAAAGACCTTTGGTCCCTATACAGACCAATTGGTCTTTATAAAGACCTTTGGTCTCTATATTGGTCTTTATAAAGACCTTTGGTCTCTATACAGACCAATTGGTCTTTATAAAGACCTTTGGTCTCTATACAGACCAATTGGTCTTTATAAAGACCTTTGGTCTCTATACAGACCAATTGGTCTTTATAAAGACCTTTGGTCTCTATACAGACCAATTGGTCTTTATAAAGACCTTTGGTCTCTATACAGACCAATTGGTCTTTATAAAGACCTTTGGTCTCTATACAGACCAGTTGGTCTTTATAAAGACCTTTGGTCTCTATACAGACCAATTGGTCTTTATAAAGACCTTTGGTCTCTATACAGACCAATTGGTCTTTATAAAGACCTTTGGTCTCTATACAGACCAATTGGTCTTTATAAAGACCTGGGGTCTCTATACAGACCAATTGGTCTTTATAAAGACCTGGGGTCTCTATAAAGA